TCTTTTCTTTTATCATTTGCTTTAAAAAGTTTTCCTATGTATGAAATAGGATTGTTAGGTTTGAGTTAGTGTTTTTTATTATGTTAAGAAAATATATTAAGTTTATTAATATTAATATCATATCTTATTCAGATTGAATCTGATTTAGATCCATACAGTGATTTATTAATATTAACTTCACCTAGATGCCTAGGCAAGGAGAGACTTGAAGTCACTGCCCGCCTAATAGGCTGGGCAGGCATCTTTGCTTAGGTGCGACCTAGGCACTTGCCTGGGCTGGGGCACTAGGCGAGCCAAGTGGATGCCTGGTTCAACTCAGGCCAATTCGAGCGCCTAGGCCTAAGCACTAGGCGAGCTAGGTGGACGCCTTGTTCAAGTCAGGCCAGTTCAAACCTGAGTTGACCCAAATAATTGTATCTGGTTTGATTGAACCAGTTAGACCTTGAGTCAACGGTCGTGGAATTCCATTGGGACCTATCCGTGCATGAGCCATAACGTAGAAACCCTTTCTCACTTCGTTTCTGCATGACGGTGGAGTTCCTCCCATCGGCGAACGATGACAGCAACGATAGTGACAACGTCTTCTTCCTACGGCATCAGCAGCGATGACTGCGTCTTTCTCCAGCGACGACGGTAGTAGCAGCGTGTTCCTCCAACAGTAGCGGCGACAACTTCTTCCCCTCCCTCTCGGTATCTCTCTCTCTTTCTCCTCCTACCTCTGCCCCGTTCACCGCAGCGCGCTACAGCCTCTTCCCTCTTCTTTCTTCCCCTCCTTCCCCATTCACCGCTCATCTGTAGCGGCGATGACTTCTTCCCCTCCCTCCCAATGTATCTCTCTCTCTTTCTCCTCCTCCCTCCTACCTCTGCTCCGTTCACCTTAGTGCTCCACTGCCTCTTCCCTCCTCTCTTTCTCCTCCCTTCTACCTTCTTCCCCGTTCACTGCAGCCCTCCTATGTTCACCGCAGCCTCTTCCCTCTTCCTTCTTCCCCTCCCTCTTAGCAGTTCATTGCTGCCTTCTTCCCCTTTCAACACTGCCTTCTTCCCCATTCACCGCAGCTCTCCTACAGCCTCTTCCTTCTTTCCCTTCCTCTTCCCCGTTCACTGCTGCATTCTTCCCCTTTCACTGCTGCCTTCTTCCCCATTCACCGCAGCCATCCTACAGCCTCTTCCCTCTTCCTTCTTCCCCTCCCTCTTCCCTGTTCATCGCTGCCTTATTTCCCATTCATCACTGCCACTTCATTGCTGTTTGTCAATTTAGACTTAGAATAGCTGCCTGCTTTGCTGTTAGTCTTTGTTGTTTGTTTATGTTTGTGAGAACAGCAGCTGCTGCCTGCTGTAGTAAAATGTCTATTATAATTGCTATTACTGTAGTGATTAGTATTACTTTTTAGTGTTTTGGATTGTCGTTGCAGCTTTAGATGATGAACTGGATTTTAATGATCTTTGATGTTAATCTTGTTTTATTTTGTCATTTTGTTATTGAATACGGACAATGTACATTTGGTACTTTAAATGAATGGAAGTTTATTGTGTTATTTTTGCTTGCTTTAGTTTATTTTTATTAATCATGATATATAATTTTTTAATTATAATATTTGGGAGCGCCTCGCTTTGTTCGGACAAGTGCCCAGTGCCTCGAGCATTTTGGAGTCATGGCGCCTTTTGATGCCTACACTATCTTTATATCCATTTTAGAGTTGCATCTGCTGATTAAATGTGGAAAAGTATATGATTTATTCAATATCTGTTGGTGTCTTATTCACATTCACCCCTATTAAGTTTTCCTTGAGTCACAGCAAAATAAATTCACTGAATCTTCTGAGCTTTCTTCCGTTAATGTTGTACATACCTCTCAGCCTCTATTGGGATAAGGTCTGGGTGATGAGTGTGATCTTGTTGCAACTGAAATGAACTTGGGATTGTAGAGAACAGAGGGCTAAGCTATGCGCCCAAGCTAGGCCAAATTGTTTACAGCTGAGGGCTGACCTGACATAATTATAAATTGATTATCATGAAAGATAAGTCTGATATTATAATTTAGAATGACAAAAGTTGTGATGCCACCAAGACCAAAATGTCTTATAATTGTTAGTTGCTGCTTGCTCAAGTCCATCAAGTATCTTTTTCAGCAAAGGATGCATGGATACTGATAATGGAGAGGTGAGATAAGACCAATTAGAGCCCTTGGACACTTCAGTCGTATTCAAAGAATAGACATGGAAGCCAAACAAGTAATACATAATAGGTCTTTGATTAGAACATAAGCTAGCTAAAAGTTCTAGTAACTTCTTTGTAACAAAGGAAGAAATGAAAGGGGTAATTATTTTTTACCTTAGTTATTTATTTAGCAAAACTGTTGCAAATTTTATTAGATCAACATTGTTTAATCTTTTAGAAAGGATATATATTTGTATGGCCGGAGTATGGTAAATTTCAATTATGAAAAATCCATTTAGCAAAATATAACTAATATTACAAAATGGAATTAACATTACACCTAAAACATGTCTGGCGATGATGGTGATATATCATATTCACTTAGTTGACGGTTTGGAATCTCATTGAATTTTTAAAGATGTTAGCTACTTCGGCTGGTGAAGGCTTCGACGGTTGATAGCAAGGTATTGGAATCAAGTTTTGTTTTCACCACTTGCTCTTTGCACAAAAAAAAAAAGAAAAACAGCAAACATAGCCTGTAAAAGAAGGAATGATATATACAGCAAGGTTTCCAAGTAGGAATTACTATTCGTGGATAGGCATTGCATCATGGGCATTGAACCATCACGGGATTGATTCTCATGTCATTGACTATACATGATTCTGAATTGCACCTTGGGCTTTGATGTGTTTTGGTTAGATTATGGCTCCCCAGTTCTGTTTCATATTAAAAGTAAGAGGAGGAAGGAGCTGATTTATAGATGTTAGGTAATCTATTATTATTAACTTGAGTTTAAGCATTTTAAGCCACATGTTTCCAGGGGTATGAAGCTAATATATCAGATTCTTATGAGGTCTGGTCATGATAGTGTTACTCAAGTTTCTTAACCCACTTGGGAACTTAATCATTTGGTTCAAAAATGTCAAATCTCTAGGCTGCAGCCGTGAGACAGATATCAATACCCATTTAAAGTTACAAGCCGAATGATCCTTGTGCTCTGATATTTCAGTTGACAGGATCCCTTGGAGAATTGGTTTTGCAAGTGGACATGATTAAATAAAGGTGTTACCTCTTAGAAAAAGATAATTAAGCTGACAGTCTACCGTGTAGTAGTCTGGCAAGTGAACTTATGATTGACTAAAGCTCTTGTATGTACTCTTAAGAAAGGAAAATTAAATAAACCTCCCTGTACTAACCTTTTGCTTCTCATGTGTTAGTTGCTTGCAAATTTCATGTGCTATGACTAAATGTTCTCAAATTTGACAGGCGGAGGATACGGAGGAGGAAGGGGTGGTGGTGGAAGGGTTGGTGGAAGAGGCTATAGCCGTGGACGAGGAAGGATGGGTGGCCGTGCCAGAGGGAACCAGTTCTAATGTCCTGATGTTGGGCTTGGGATAGTTGTGCATGCTTGTTTACGTTAGGGCAAAAAAGGTTATTTAAGTACTTATTTAGGGCATCAACTGTGAGTTATGATTGTGCAAGACCAAGCTTTGATGGTAAGAGAAGTGGTTGTGCTTTCTCAGTTACACGGTTATGTTGGCTGCCCAAGCTAGAATTTTGTTTTCCAGGATTGTGATCAGCAGAGTGCTGCAATCTGCTCCATCTTTCTTTGTTCATATCAAATATTAATCCATACTAGTGTATCTGAAATTCTATTACTTGTAGCATTGAGTATCAGCTTTGCTTTCTACTTTGATCCAGCTTAAACAGATCATGAAACTCTTGCTGATTGATTGATTGATTATAGACTGGACAACTGAGTTTGAAATTGTTGGAAACTGTTTGAAGAAGAGTTGAAATTAAAGGTTTTAATTCATGTTCTTGGATGGATCCATCCAAGTTGTTTTTCCATGTTGCGTATACTTAGTGGTTTTGAGAGGGTAGATTAATTATTTTTTTTTTGAAATCATGTATCCTTTACCACATATTATACTGATAATAACATCCTACAACAAGAATCAAGCGCACTATCATATATTATAATCAATCACGTTTGAAGGGAGACAATAAGTGCATATCATCATGTCTTGATTCATTGGTTCAAAGGAGTTGGAGACGAATATTTGGTTTGGTCAGTTTAGCGAGTGAGGCAAACATTTAGGAAGACAACGTATGCAATCAATTCCTAATGAGTATAATTAGTACACCTTGCGTATAAATGGTGTATAAATAATTAGTACACCTTGCGTCCAGTAGTTCCTTCATCTATGATATTTAGTTATAATTGGCATTGGTCTTGCAATCAATGATTAGTACACCTTCCGAATAAATGGATAATAAATTTTGGACAAATTTCTTAAAAAAACATCTCAAGATTTTAGTTTTCCCCATAAAACATTCTCTTTTTGTTTAACTATTACATAACATCCTTATTTTTTAGCATATTAATGCGAAGGCCTCACCACCTTATTATCGTCTATGAGATTCTCTGGTCGTCTTTCCTCGTGATTATCTCTACCATGCTTATCATCTTATTGTCATCTACATATAATCCATACGACCTTTTATCATTATCTTCATTATCATATTTGTGCTCATGATATCATCATAAAGGACTCCTTTAAGGATAGAGGAGGCAACCCGACGAGACTCGACGAAGGACGAAGGCAATCACATGAAAATAATATACCTCAACGATGAAAGCTAGGGATAATCTTTTTTTTTTAAATAAGAATGATAAAATAAAAAATATGGCACATGGTAAGAAAAATAATAAAAACCTATATTTTTTTTAAGGAATTTACCCATGAATTTTTACCTTTTTATCCATAAAACTCAATAGTTCCACACAACATAGAATTGTCTTATCCCTTGATGAACTAAAAGCCAGGTTCGGCCCGGCTCAATTTGGAACGGTCTACTTCCAGCTTCATCGACCGGCTCAAGGTGGCCGTGGAAGAACGAGAGCTCATTCCGTGGCTTCTGCAGAGCCGCTTCACTCAATCCTCTCGATTCCTTCGCGAGGCAGGTGATGGTTCTTTTCAAGGCCAGTCGGCGCGTTGTGTCGACAAGTTTGCCGGCAATCAAAAGTGGATCTGTAAGTGGGTCTTTCTTAGACTTTTCTCTTCTATTTTGGGGGTTTCATTTGCTGGATCAAGATCGAGGCTTTCGCTCTTGTATTGGAGGTGGTAATCGATGTCTAGAGTTCGAAGATGCGGGAGGAATTAGGGTTTCTGATACAACTGAATCTACCGTTGTTGGGCTTTTGCTACGCCAGAATCGATCTGATTGCATTACGCCTTTCTCCTTCCCTTTCCCGGTCGCTCGGTCTTGTTGTTATCCGATCATTTCCTTATGTTGCACTGGGTACGGGTCGACCTTGGTCTCATCCGTTTGCAATCCTGTCGGCGCCCCTCTGCCATACCATCATGGGTCCGCCGTGGATGCAGCTGGAAAATATCAACAATATGCATATTTAACCTCTTCATAATGAATCGTAGGCATCAGAAACGCTTTTGCCTTGCTATCTCTTCATAATAAATTATATTTTGAACATAAGATCATCACAATTTTACTTGTCTTTTTTTTTTTGTATGAGCCCAAAAAACAGATATAATATTCTGTGAAATTTCTAGAGGAAGGGCCTTTCTCCTATCATACATGTGGAGTTGACTGAATTTGGGAAAAAAAGAAAAGTTCCTCTGAAGCTTGGATGTAGTGTATTAGTTACCCGAGACCAAATCAGATTTCTACTCTCAAGATCCTTGTTAAATTCTGAGGTCTAAGATACATAGATTTTTCAAATACGATTTGAACAAGTGAAAGACCCTGCAATTTGATAGTGGGGAACAACAAAACTTTGAACAAACTTAAAATAAATAACAGATTGTTATATAGGAATAACATGAAAGAGTAAATAATAATATTTAAAAAATAAAGTAATGAACATTGAAAACATGTCCATTTTATCACCCAATATTCGTAAGATAACAATAAAGCAAAGCTAAGCATGGTTCACCTTGGATTGAACTTTACACTGCACAAAGAGACCCAGGAAGGCCAAACTTGAGAGCGATATCATCAAAATCCTAATTTGACTTGTAAAATTTAATGGTTTATGATCCAATACACCCACAATGATCTGAATCTATTCAGATATTTTTAGGCATATTATTTGACTAGTATCTAGACTTGGATATAGTATCTACCAAGATCCTTACCTACCCATAGTCCCACAAATTCATGTAATTTTCTTTTAATGCTGGAGCAATAGGACTTCATTCTTGCTTAGAGGTCATCAGATGTCTATCTTATGATCAACTAAAGGCTGATAGTCTCTAGAAATAATATTTCTCCATCTCACACAATCATCACAGATTAAAACTCTTAACATTCTCAATTTTCATACTATCATGGTTTCATGTCCCTCGAAGCCCATTTTCCCACTAGGCCCCATGTGGTTCCATGTCTAGGATGTCTCAGCTGCTTCATAAATCAAGCACATCATCTCGTGCTGATATCTTTTTTGTTACCATAGTGATCATCATGAGATTGTCATTGAGTCTAGGGAAATTTGGACAATCTTGCATCATTAACCTTCATAAAATCTAATGCTGCCAAGAGTATATAATATGAATGTAGCAACTCTGTTGTGAGATTTACTTTATTCTGAATTCTATGCATTATTCATTACATCTTCAAATACAAAGCAAAACAAGTACTGGAATATTTCAGGACCCAAGGACTAGGTTAACATGATATCAGAGCATCCAAAAATTTCTGTTTTTGGGAAGAACTGCTCGGGCAATTTTGTTCAACTTTTTTCTTGTACAAATAATATGATTTGTCTCCTTCTCAAGGAAACATAAATGAAGAATGTTCAAGAAAAGATTCAAGTGGGGAATTAAAATGTAATTTAAGAGCACGGTGTGCTAAAAGATAAGCACATTTGGTCACCACACAAGTTCAACATTAAACTTGAATCGGATGCAAGTTTGGAAGGAAATCTACAGTCAGAAACTAAATGGCATTATTGCCACAGAGCATTGCAGAATTCTTAGATGCTGAACAATGATGGGACATATCTTTCCAGAATAGAAAAATTTATGTGCCGATCATGACATTGGCTTTGGGAAAATATCTGTTTCCATTGTCAATATCTTTCTGGCACCAATCAGGATGTGGCATCATGGTCGTACTTCGAAGATCATTTTTTGGTATCCTACTGTTAATTTTAATTGTTAAGCATCCCCTGTAATTTATAATGTCTTGAATGCTTCTTTGCTTCCTAGTCAGTCAGAGTAGAAAATATAAAATTCACTTCAGAAATGTTCTGAATATTTTGTTAAGTGCACCTCTGGTCTATTTAACTATGTTCATACACATCCTTCAGAAGTTCATTCCATGCCATGCAATTAATCTATGCTATTTTTCTGTTGCACATTCTCTTCAATGAAACCTTTGTATCCACTATTTTAGTTAGTAATGGTGATGATTATTTGATTGATGGTTCCTGCCTTGTGTATATGTTTTTTCTAGGTACCTCTCAAGAACCTTTCTTCGATCTATAGGGCTGGACTGATTCGCCATTCCAGTGGCTGGAGATCATTTTCTGCTTGTAGGTCATTCAGCACCCAGACTGCTACAACAGGAAGTACCCCTCAGCCTCCACCTCCACCTCCACCTCCAGAAAAGACTCATTTTGGTGGTCTAAAGGATGAAGATCGCATTTTCACGAACCTATATGGCTTGCATGATCCTCTTCTAAAAGGTGCTATGAAACGGGGTGACTGGTACAGAACCAAGGACTTGGTAGTTAAGGGTAGTGACTGGATTGTCAATGAAATGAAGAAGTCTGGTCTGAGAGGCCGTGGAGGAGCTGGTTTTCCATCTGGTCTGAAGTGGTCTTTCATGCCCAAGGTATCTGATGGCCGCCCTTCTTATCTTGTTGTCAATGCTGATGAAAGTGAACCTGGCACATGTAAAGACAGAGAAATCATGCGTCATGATCCTCATAAACTTCTGGAAGGGTGCCTGATTGCTGGAGTTGGTATGAGGGCAACAGCTGCATACATCTACGTAAGAGGAGAATATGTAAATGAACGATTGACACTTGAGAAGGCAAGAAAGGAAGCATATCAAGCTGGATTATTGGGGAAGAATGCTTGTGGATCAGGTTATGATTTTGATGTTCATATACACTTTGGTGCTGGAGCTTACATCTGTGGTGAAGAGACAGCATTATTGGAGAGCCTTGAAGGCAAACAAGGGAAACCAAGACTAAAGCCTCCTTTCCCAGCAAATGCAGGACTATATGGCTGTCCGACTACTGTAACAAATGTGGAGACTGTGGCTGTATCTCCCACAATTTTGCGGCGAGGACCTGAATGGTTTGCAAGCTTTGGCCGGAAAAATAATTCTGGCACAAAACTGTTCTGTGTATCTGGTCATGTGAACAAGCCTTGCACGGTGGAAGAGGAGATGAGTATCCCACTGAAGGAATTGATAGAGAGGCATTGTGGTGGCGTTCGAGGAGGCTGGGACAACCTGTTGGCAGTTATCCCGGGAGGTTCTTCTGTTCCCCTCCTTCCCAAGCACATATGTGATGATGTCATGATGGATTACGATGCTCTTAAAGCTGTTCAGTCTGGACTGGGTACTGCAGCAGTGATTGTTATGGACAAATCCACTGATGTCGTGGATGCAATAGCAAGACTGTCTTACTTCTACAAGCATGAGAGTTGCGGTCAGTGCACACCCTGCAGGGAGGGAACCGGATGGCTGTGGATGATTATGGAGAGGTTGAAGGTGGGGAATGCCAAGCTGGAGGAGATTGATATGCTTCAGGAAGTCACCAAGCAGATCGAAGGGCACACTATATGCGCTCTGGGTGATGCTGCTGCATGGCCGGTACAGGGACTTATCAGGCATTTTAGGCCAGAACTAGAAAGGAGAATCAGGGAGAGGGCCGAGAGAGAGCTCTTGGAGGCTGCAGCTGCTTAAATCCTCTAGCCTTTCCTTTTCAAGAGCTTTCTCTGCTTCTTTTCATCAAACTTATGAGAATAATCAATTGTTGGTGGACATCCTAATGAGAACACAGCTCTGCATGCTGTTTCTGACGTTGTCCTCTACACAGACCTATTTGTCTGAAGCTCTTCCAAGATCAGATCCATGTTGTTGGATCCCTGAGCCTGCAAATTCTGCAATTGTTTTCGTTTGTGGAGGAGAATTCATTTATTGTCTGCCCATGAATATATATTGGGAATCTTGTCAAATTTCATTAATATATTTTTATGGCTTTAAGTTTATTGTACAAATCCACTCTTATTTATTTTGTTACTCAATATTCATGTTTGAAAAGCGATTGAAAAAAAAAAAAGAAGAATAGTCTCGATAAATATGAACCGGATTATATATATTAATTTTGATTTATATTTAAAAAATTTAAAATTTTGATTGAATTGATGTCTCAATTAATATATATTAATCTTGATTAATTTAATTTATCGATATTAGATTTTTAACATATTCAAAGATATTATTCTTACGACTCAAATATCAATCATCATACAACAGCATGTGTCAACTTAAATCATCGTGGAGGCTTAATCTTAATCTAACCTGTCAAGTCCTTAGGATCTTAATCTAACCTGCCAAGTCCTTAGGATCGATCGCTCACTATGAGTATATGTTAATCCCTTGAAAAGTCTTGAATTATTTGGTTGAATGGGCCATTTTTTTTAATATGTATAAGTTACTATATTTTATTTGGTTGAGTGAGCCAATAATCTCTCTTTTTGCATATTCTTTGTGGATGACATTAGATTATTTTTCCTTTTGAATCTAATAATATATATTTTTGCATGTTATTTCGTAGATAACACAAGGTTGCTTTTGGACTTAACCTTTGTGGAGCGCAAGAGTAATAGACTACTCGAACAAATTTAGCTGATAACATGTTACAATCCACACCAAGTAATGAAAAAAATGAGACAAGTATACTTCTCAATTAACACAGCAAAAGCCCACTAATTCTCATGAGAAAGTACGTATAGAGTGCGGGGAGGCTACCGGTAGAAAGGATATTTTCGTTTCCGCTTTGCCTGCAGATGTCAGCAGATTCCTAAGTTTCGGAGCCACGATGTTTATAATTATGAGAAGACATAGAGGAAATAAAAGGAGAGAGAGAGAGAGAGAGAGAGAGATCTGCATGGTTTCGAGTCCATTCAACGTAGTATTCCTGTGACTACATGATTCCATTCAAAGGTCGTTACGAGGATTGCTTCGCATCTTCAAGTTTGACGAGTACTTCATTCACTATGTATAGCGTCAGGGACGGACCAAAAGGTTTGAAATGAATGCGGACTTCCTCCGGCTTTGTTACTACTCGTTAACGGGTTATCCGAGTGAGCTTTACTACTCATTAACTTTGAGCAATGATCGAACGTAATGTATAACATCGAAGACGTACACTAACAAAATTAATCTATTCATCACATTCATTGGTTTCTCTCTCCATCTCTTTCGTCAACTTGTACAAAGTCATATATGACATGTTTATAAAGGGTTATAGTGGATGTTAATTACCCGGTAACCCGTTTATGACTAGTAAACCACCTTGAAGTCCATACGACCGCATCCAATTCAAACCTTTTGATCACTTACCAAATACTTGGACCATGACACCGTCAAGCACGAAGACGGGAAGCAAAACCTCGTCAAGAACAAACAAATGCGTTTGGAATGGAGCCACAAAGTCTAAGTAATAGTATTGTGACCCACCCATATATATATATATGGAGCTCCCCCTCTCCACCACCACACCCATCTCAACCTCGGTAGTGATAACCTACAGAGTTGTTGTTGGTAGTGAGAACCCATAGAAAGAGTAATCTTACTTCCTGTCATCGATTCATGGCCGTGGCGTGGAGGCAAGCGCTGGTGTTTCTGCTGCTGCTTTCGAGCTTGCAGTCCCCGGCAGTGGC